TTCCAGTATCTTTGCTTTCTTTATTTCCTTAAGGCTTAGTTTTAATTCCATACAAAGCATGTGCTCTCACCCTTTAGTTGTCAGAATTCTTAACCCCTGGATGAGTTACGTAGAAGGCGTTAAAGAGTACACAGCGGCCATTTGATTTCAGTCTAGCTGTCAAGTCAGTCAGTTATAGAGAACGAATGAAGATTCCTGACCAGAAGAATCAAGCGCCGGTCTAAAGCCCCTTCCCCAATTGAACGCCGAAGCGTAGCGGTCGAGTAAGCGCTAGAGCATTTTGGCAAAGTGTTGTCCATATCAGGTTACTTCCAAGCGTAAACGTCTGTTCGTGTCGCTTTGTGTATAGCAGACATCTGGCAAGTAGACTCCAGATTTCCTTGGTCATTAGGGCGGAATATTGGCTTTTGTAAGCTCTTCAATGAAAGTAGCTTGAGCAGTTACACTTGCAAGTCCGGTAACATTTAGTTTTAATAGGGTAATTGAGGGAAACTTTTTTTGAAGACAAATGGTTAAGTGAACCAGAGCGTCTTTTTGAAGTGTTTTATGCTGAAGTCGAACTGGCTGTGACGTGATGCGAAGCCATAAAAGAGTAAGGGAGGTAGTTTATTGTCTCTCAGGCTAATGTGAGATCTCAAAGATTCCGCTCCCTCCTTGCGCAACTCGTTGGCTTCCAATGGCCAGCAACCTACCTTCTGGTTTTGTTATTCGAGCTAATAACAAAAAATCACAGCAACTATGTAGTCCTAACTAAGGCGTTGTCCGGTACATCATATCAAATGATGCCATTTCTAGTCATTTAGCTGCCCTTCTAATTCGTATTCAGTAATAAGCACGCAATACATCGAACATGATTATCGTGATTGAATGATCAGAGTGGGTCCATGGCGCATCCCCGGGGAATTTCACTGTGTCCCTTCCGCACATTACTTCCTTCGAGAACCGCTATCCTGTCCAGAGCTCTTTATACTATATTAGCAATTACAATGTCCGTTTGTTTGATGCGTAGTATACGCCGAGATGATGGAATATTTAATTCCATGGTAATGGTCATTTTGATGCGTGCTTGTATCGATTGTTCGCACGCGAACGGGGCGCCGTAATTATGTTCGTTTGTGTGATGGAATAGGAAATTGCAGAGTTCCGTTTAGAACTGGACAAACACTGAACGTCGTTTATACCAAATACGCTCCAAAACAACAGATATTTATCCTAGAGTGAAAAGAAAAGGATGTAGTAGCGTCGTTATCTCTGACATGCCCATGTATAATCAAGGTGAATGATGTGGGCATATCTGCCACAGTTCTTCCGCGCATAAGTCGAGGCATTCAAATAAACTGCGTTGCGGGATGAAAAGCTGTTTGCTCATGGCGGATTCGGCCCCATGCAGCAATCCAAACCTTTCCCATCCCATACGGTTGAGTTACCTCGAACACTTTACGCAAAGTGGATTGTGACCACATGTCCACCGTCACTACTCTTGACATAACTCTTTCATCCTCCAGTCTGAGGATCCAGTTTTTTGAGACCAGAGGGCAAAAACCCACTGACCTTTGGGATCGCCTGCCTAAAGGCTAACCACAATACTCAACCCAGTCTTTTGATGTGAACTCAACGCGTCGGCCGCAGCATTGAGCAATCCGAAACCTGAATGATGCTTTATCGTGTTCTTCATTGAATATACGTTCAAAACGACGCTCCGTCTCAAAGAAGTGAATCGACTTTTTGTTTTCCTTATGTTAAATATATCAAGTTAAGTGGGATTATCGAGCGACAGTAAAGCATAACCCATCGCGCCCTATTAACCAACTGTTTATGACCAGAAGCTCGAAGTAGTGAGGTGATTCCGAAATGGGATTTTATAATATTCACATGAGTATCTTTTTTTTTCACAATTGTTCCAACTCCATTCATCAGCCGCCCTACCAGGGTGTGTGGACTAAAATGAGTATCGATTTTGCGCGCATGTAATCAATAGCCATTTGTGAAGAGCACAATGAAAAATGGGTATCGATTAGTTGAAGGCAGTGAACGCGATGGTTGGAAGTCAGAGCGGTTTTGGTGACGTTATTGGACGTCATTGGTATACTAGACCCCTTAACGCGCTGGGATGTGGTTGAGAATATCTTCGTCCTATTACCACTGACGACCTATGACGTCATCAAGACATCTCCGACAACTGTGTCCACTGCCTTTTGATTATAAAGGGAATTTCAGAGTGTTGTAAATGCAAACGGTTCATTTTCAGATGAAGTCGTCCGGCCGAACAGGAATCTCGCACTCGGATCAACAACAAATGCTTTCATTCTTGTCGAGTTTTAGTCGATGAGGAAGTGTCATGAAAAGCCAGTGGAAATTCTACGGAGTTCAACTTTTTTCTCTACATTAAATGGCGGGTCGAGTAGAACGTTTTGGTGATTGGAACTGTAACAATACAAACAACCCTTAGGGTCGTCCCTGTTCACAAAAATCCATGTATGTTCATACTCGTCTCATTATGATGTTCAAATTCTTAGCATTATTCAGAAGAAGGTCAAATTCAGTTTTCTCTCCCATACTGCATTGGATGCCATTCCGTGTGGTTTCTTTCTGAATCTGTAATCGTTCCTATTTTCATAGGTTCGATCAATAGCTATTGATTGTGTATGGCTAATTGATCCGTCCTCATACCTTTTCATCTAGATCCATCTCAGCTAGTACTGGCATCCGGTCCTAGCGCTTCAAATATCTTTTCAAATAAATATACGTCGTGATCTAAAAGATGTTACTCTATGTTGTTATCTTTCTTTTCTCTTTGAATGAAGTTTCCCTAATTGATCGAGTTCGGCATACAGTGTGAGGTCTGAAGGAGGCCAGATTACCTTGCCAAAAATTGCGCGAGTACTTGAACGACCAAGGTCGAGTATTCGAGTGAATAGTTGAGAAGGTCTACCTTCGGGTTTACGCCGTGGTAAAAATTGATTGAGAATTGACCGACATGGGTAGAAGTTTTGGAGCGTGAGAGTTCGCGTCATATCTCGTACCCCTTGGGTTATACAACTGGTTTTGCTCAGGATTGAGCTGTTTCGCGCTACTTTCATAAGAAAATTCAGGAACATTGAAGGTGCAAAATTATTTCAAAAGAAACTCAAAGGAATCCCAAGGTATTAATGGGTACAACTGGCCTTGCTCTAATCGCCACATCAATTCACGGTGAATGCTATGCTTTTGGGCGCGCCACGCCAATAGCACCACGGGAAGAGCCATGCTATGTCGCTGGGGGCATAGCTCCGCTGCGAATTGCGTGTCGTTACACACCAAAAAAGGGGAAACCAATATAGGAGAAAAGACAACGGACTCCCTACCCCGAAGGGTGTACAACCGGCTTGCCTATCGACACGCAATTCACGGCGAGGGCTATGCCTTTGGCGATCAAGCATGGCCCTCCCCGCGTCGCTATCAGCTCGGCACGTCCACCGTCGCTAATTTACTCGTACGCAGTCTTTAACCGTCAGTGTGCAGAGAGATGCGCTAGCGTGAACACTGGCAGCAGCGTGATGAGAATCCCATCAGACATCAACTGGCATTGGAGTAATCATTCCGGTTCTGACACTTTCTCATAGGTTCCTTCATACACTGACATGCCGCTGATCTGCTAAAAACTTGTCAGATGCTAATTTATCTCGGAGTTGGCGAATATAATATCTGATTGCTGCGATAGCGTTCTAAGGTGCTCGCGCCAATCAGTTGTGGCTGCCCCGGTGTCTCTGGCGCTAGCGCCGGTTACTCTGACAGAATGAATGTGATCTTATTATTTAAGGGTTAATCTCCGATTGGCAACTCGTGCCAATTTCAACATAGAATACAAATTTCGCGAATGATCCGCCTTCATTTTGGGAAGGTGGAGAAGTGAAAGATGCATCTCTTCATTACGTAACCCACAACGCTGTGTGTCGGTTTTTTCTCTAAAAGTGTCTGGCTGTCCTTCCGCAAAATGAAGTGTGATACTGCAGCTAATACAAGGGTCTTCTGTTTATATTAATTGGGTTATGCTTTGTCATGGCTGTCTGCTTTTCTGTAAGTGTACTTGCAATTGGCATATTAAGTGGGAATTATATTCCAAGTACGTATATATAAGTCAGTCCAGTATGTCTGCAATTGCGGTCGATGTCTCTACAAGGTGTCTTGGCAATGGCAGCTGGAGTAGCCATGGAGTGGATAAGAGAATTTAGGCGAGTGGATATGGTTGATGAGGTAGAGAAAGGTCAGAGCTTCTAAAGGCAAGAGGCGTAGGGTTTCCGGCGAATTAAGTGGTGACTCTTAGTCCTGTAGGTGGTAAAGGGTAAGTTAGCCAATTAATCCTAACTAATTAGGTATCCTGAATTCAAATCATCTAAAATTATTTCGGTACAGCAAAGTGAGAAATCTCAAGAGAATAAGGCAAGGGAATAGGTAGGGCAGTGAGGCGAATCCCCACGAAGTTAAAGATCGTAGATTCTAGCAGTTCTCCTTTGTCCATGTCTTAAGGAACCATAGAAGCTATTGGCAACACACTGTACTACGGCATTCGAAATTTCTGAGATTGGCTTCCCATCTACCTCTGCGGTCCGTTGAGTCACTTGGATCGCACTCCCTTCCCAGCGATCCATGTTTGTCCTCAGTGCCTGACCTCTTGGATCAAGGGCCAACAGTTGGCCGTCGAGCGGCTGTTGGCCAGAATTCAAACCTGACGCCATAGCCACAGAGTCGCAATTGGCTCGCGTAATTACCGAACCCTTGCAGGACCTGCGTCTCCATGTAGACGCAGTCCATCGTATCCCTGGGGGAGTGCGGCTTTCGTATAATGTGTCTTCTCTTCTGCGAAAAACGAAAAACTTCCCATTAACGAAGCTTGATTAAATAGAATTGCAAAACTGAAAAATAGCTGAGAAAATGTCTTTATTTGTTCATCGGTGTACGAAAATCGAATATTTTTACAGACAAAATCCTCCATGTCTTCCCACGTCGCGTAGAAACGGCGTTCAGGCGACACACGGATCGGTTGGCTGTGAGTTGATACCGTACTTCCTGATGGTGAATGAAGAGAACAGCAGCGCAAGAGAGGTGGCCAAAGGGTCGATGATCGCATGTACGAGCCAACTCCACGTCTGAAACGGTAGACGTAGATGATTACGGTAGTGATGAAGTGGTCGGCAAACAACGCATTCGGGACCCGCATTCAAATGTGTCCGTGTGTATACACGCGACGGTACATTCGGCGGATACTGATATATCGCATTTCTGCCGCCTCCCCACCTGGACTGCTGGATACCGCGGTGATGTTTGCACAATTGGCGCGGGAACGCTGTTACTCGGGATAAATGTGTGGCGTGGTAATGGACTAAGTATGACCTAAGGACACAGTGCATAGCAATCTTACCTTAGCGATCCAGTTAGCGGGAATCGATAGCAATTTAGCGATGGGCACACAGGCGAACACATTAATCACGGAGACGATAGCGAACAGAATACCGAAGAGGATAGCTGCTGGCAGGCCAAGAATGAGTGAGCAGAAACGGTAGACGAATAGACGGGTAAAGCTGAAATAGGGGGAGATTATGTCATTGGAACAGGAAATCCTGGGCTTCCTAAGGGCTCCAAAAGCCCAATAAAGAGGCCAAAACTCACGTGAACACCTTGAACACCAGCCGCCAAACGCAGTCCCACGAGTGCTGGGTGTCAGCCTCACCGAAGATGTCGTCGAAACCCCCAAGCGAACATGCCGTTGATACACTGCGATTACTCCATAAAACTGTGAGGGCTAACATTTTAGCCCTGTTGGGCTTTGGAGATAGTTTACCTTTTCGTCTCGGTTCACAAGATCGACTCCCATCGAAATGTGATCGTCCCTCTGCTCTTCCTCGGTCTTATGCTTTCCCCACCAGCATTTCTTCTTCGGCTTCTCCTCAGAGGCCTTTTCCTCGTCCTTCGGATGTTCAGTGATCGTCGTCTTCTCTTCGATCTAAAAATGAGGACATAGAAAATTAGGTAAGGAATATTCTTCAAGAGTGCAAATTAAGAAAGGATATTTTCACAGATTTCTAAAACCAAGCAAAACAGACCTTTTTGAAGAACCACAGTCTTCTTTTGTGACGGAAGAGGAGGAAAAGCCTCGTCGAAGGTCTCTGTGGTCCCAGCCGGGGCGTCGGTGTCAGATTTGAGCGGAACTTGCTCGAGCTCTACTGGCTTATCTTGATCGGTGGACATTTGTTCTATAAGTGACTGTTTACAGTCTCAAAGGTAATGATGAAAGGTAATCAGACCAAAATATCGAAGCACAATTGCGAAAACATAAACAGTAAACAAAATGACAAACGATAGGGCGCTATCGCAAGATAAGGGGCATCCCTCTAAAGGCTAAGCCTACGAGACTGTAGAACTCGAGAAATGAAAACCAGGCCCAAGTACCCTGGAGATTTCTTTCCCCGTTGCTCAAGGACCTAGCCCTGATTTCCAACAATGAAGGATGTTTAACGCAGACGCCCCCGTATCTATGCGATAGCGCCCACAAGAAGTGCAAATAGCTTCGGTAGAGTGAAACCATAAAATTAATATAGTTATAGGAAATGGCGACAATGCGCACGTATAAGAATAGGAATGAGGTGGAGCGGACGGAATGACCCAGCGCTCACGGCTGGGGGTCGTTGGCGTAAGAACGGCGTGCCAGTGCTGGGCCTGTTGGGGTCAGGATAAGTGTATATGCCATTGACATATGCAGATGAGCATCGGAGAGCTGGCTAGCGATGAGGTCAGAGTACACGCCTCCTCAAATTCACCATTGGAGGCGAACACCCCAGTGTGTGTCCCGCCCCCGAGTGATTCAAACTCAGCCCTAGCTCCGCCTTCAGCAGAGTTCGTGCTCCTGATGATCAGTACAACACCTTTTATGGTATGCTTAACATGATGAGGGGTATTTGTCCGAAATAATCCATAGAAGATCGGTATCGATTGCAATGATTTGCACCCTTCACATGCTTACAATTCCATATGGGCCGATATCCCTTCCACGATTTACGATTAGATATCCGAAATAAACCACAAACAGTTCAGGTCGGTAAACAGAAACTGCGAGGTAATCTTCGGAAAGGATTGCTAAGAGATTGACGTGAGCCACCGGTGACAGAGGCCTTTTCGTTAAGCTTAACATTTTTTAGCTTACACACATGAAGGTTGTTTGGCAAAACCCTGCTGCGGATTTTTGATTTTAGCCACGCCTACCACAAATGCCTGGCCCGTTCCGCTACCCATCACTCTCCTATTTCGTACTTCTGTGGCCAGTCTCCACTGGTATGCTGGGCCCCTCTTATTTCCACGGAATAACCCGCAAAAATTTAAGAATCCCTGATGAAGATGATCACAAGGGAAAGCAGTTCGGGGAGCACATATGGTGGAGACTGAATTACTCTAGACCACTCCTTAACGCTCCGGAAGCCTGTCAGGTCAAACGAAACCGCCATGTCTGATTCCATATGCGCATGCCCGATCCTTGCTGTTCCAGGTGATTCCCAACAAACACGATCCTTTTCATGGACCAATATCCGACAACAAAACATGTATTGGTCATTCTTTTGAAGACTGTCCCACTTTAACTCACCTCTGCATTTAACCGAATAAATCTACTGTCCCACTTGCTTTTCCTGTCATATTCTGTTTCCATCGAAGTGGAGTAGTAGCTATAGGCGCCACACTATCCTTAGTATCGGCCCGCATATTATAATGGCAACCATTTCGGGAAACCTTTTTTTGTAATGGTACAAGGGCTTTAAAACGAGTGAAAGCAGTGACCTTAATATCGACTACTTGATCTCAATAAGGAAAAGGCGCATTCAAATAGCATAACGATTTCCACTGAAGCTTTAGGCATGGCATATCCTATCCCTGGGCTGACTCGTATGCCTAACTGGCTATATACCGTACTACAATAATGAAAGTCGAGCACAAGGTTGACGATGAGCTTTCTTCAGTTTCGTCGCTACTCACGGTTGAGAGAGATAGCTCAGCTGGGAAGGTTATGACGAACCTGGACCTAATCAACTAATTAGACTTATTCAGGTGTAGCCATTAGGGTCAATTATCACTTTATAGATGACGCCAGGGCCACAGCACTTTTCTAATTAGGCCCTGGCGTATGTTGATTCCTTTACTGTGAAATGACGGTATGCCTTGTCCTGAGCAGAAGGGCGACAGTAGAGGATCAGCAAAAAATCTTGTAGAACACTCACGTGAGGAAGTCGAGATGCGCCATGCGCTTGCGCGTCCTACTGGAATGGTACATGTTAGAATCGTGCTCTAATCAAAGATTCAAAGAGACAGCTGTGAAGTAAATTCTTCATTTCTGCCTATATTTTCACTGAACATTAGTGTTTTCACCTGACTTAAGCTTTTGCATTGGGCTTTGAGAAGAGACAGGAATTGAAAATTTCGTTCTTTCCGAACAAGGCTACAAATCATTACAATTTGGAGATATTTTGCACCTTATCTCAGCGTTCGAAGGTACGGTTTTCAGGACTTTCAACGCGTGGAGATGAATACTGCGTTCAGGGAATGGTCACGGCAAAGCGACGCTGCCTCTAAGATTACGGCTCCCACTCCCTTCCCAGACTCCCTTCCGCCTTCCGATGGTTGATGGTGTCAGTAGTGTAGTTGAGCCTGGCTCAACCTGATACATCATAACAGCAGATTTCATGTCCCACGTCACCATTTTCCCATTTATCCCCCTGTCCCCATATGCGATCTTTCAAAAATCCCAGATACAGTCATCTTTCCACCAAGGTGAATCCGACCTCTGTTGAAGAATCTCCGACCGCGACTCACGTTGAATGTAGAGAATTGCAGTAGTTACTTTGATATGTTACTGTTACTGTTACTTACCTCCAAGTGCAGGTTTTTTCATTTTTTGCTACTTTCTACTGTTCTTGAAGGTAAAAAGCTCGATAAAAACTGACGGGGACCGTGTTATTGCGGTGCTTTGGTTTGCGCGTTATTTTTAGGCTAATTAGTGACTACTTCTGAAAACCATCACGCGTGGCCGATTTGTTGCCGAGGTCGTTCGTCACCATGGCGATCAGCATATCTAATCATTATGTTGTTAAAGCTCAGCTCAGCACGATTTTGATGTTTTCGCGCCCTTGCACGGAGAGCTCAGGTCGGGGGTTATGTAGCAGTGGGAATTTCATTTCCAGTAAAGTTGTTGGCGTGTTGACAACTAACTGAAATAAGTAAAAGGTCGTCAACGAATCGTAAACCCATATACAGTTGCAGCTCTGAAGGTAAATACAGGGGTTTGAGACAGAAGCATTGCAGTGGTCGTCAGAAGCGCACAAATCTTCCTAAATTTAGGGCGCGAAGGATAGGGTTACCGTAATGCCAACAGTTACGGTTACCGTCGATCCAAATACTTGTCAGATTGTCGTGATACTTTTGAGGTCGGACAAACATTCCATCTGTTCGGGACAGGAGCAGCCTACATCAGGAAGGCATATGTAAGGCACCATACGAAGACAGTTACCTGGATGCCAAAGAAAGGAGTTGTGGCGCTACACGCGACAAGGTGGGCTGGTTGCTGAGCTGGACTTCGAAGGACTCCGCCCCACAAAGCGAATTCGCCCACTAGGTTAGTTGATGATCTGGACGAGCTGCTTTTCCATCAGCGGTAGAACTGTGGCAACTCGATTGGGGAGCGGTTTGGCATGGTTCCATTCAACGCATTGCGATGAACTCGTTCATACATCCGCTTTTTGAGCTGTTACCTGCAAAAAAAAGGAGAGCGCGCCGTTTTGTTTCTTGACGGATTTCCCTGCTTTTTTCGCACTTGGCGTACTGATGAGCACCACCTTGGCTCCTATAAACCATTCTTGAACCTATCGTAATCGCTGCCTTTAATGTCTGACTGGCAAAAATACAAGGAAGGCAACCTCACACCTGAGGAAGCGGCTGTTTCTATACTATCTGGTCCTAGCACTCACTACCTGACACACTGCAATTTCCACCACGACATCCCGCAAGTGCGTTGAATGAAGGAATATAGGTATACACTTGCTGGAATCTCAATTGTCAGGATTTCCGTGTTCTCCAAAAATGCGCTTCACATGGCCAATTTGACCTCCTTCCAAGAATTCGATCCTCTTCGTCTGACTTGGTCTAGCGAACGGCTGGCCCCGCTTTGGGGTCATTTCAGTGGTGGTAGTTTTCTTCAAAGTGTTGACTTGAACATGGAAAATTGCTTGTAATTGCTGCTGGCTAATTGTCAATTTCGATGTCTCTGAGGCTTTTGATGTGAGTAGGATCCGCGGCGCATCTCGTCGTATTGAGCGTGATTCTACACACTGGATATTCTATTGTGGTAGAGTGAGAAAGGATGAGCTAGGTGTTGAGAAAACGCCACGATCAGTATCCTGCAGCTGGATCTCACTCACGACCCTCGTTTATGAACAGCTCCATCCTACAAAATCTTCCCTCGAATATGAGAGCGCAGTTGCTAAGCTTTCAACCAAGATTGACAGTAACTTTTTAGGCCTACGCTTCGGTGCTTTCACCTTCTTCAGAGCCTGGAAAAAAGAAATAAAAGTTACTGTCAATCTTGATTGGAAGCTTAGCAACTACGCTCTCATATTCTGGATATGCCAAGATTTGTACAAAGTCGGACTTGGACACTAATTCTACCTTTATTTTCTTGAATAGTGCGTAAGGGAGCGCTCTTGTCCTCACGATCAGAGGCACAATCAAAACAGGGCATTCAAAAACAGCTTGTAGGCGGCACTAAGACTATTTGTAAGCCCGGGAGAGGGGAAAAATGCCAAGGAGAACAAGGATTGCGCTCGTCCTCTCCCAGAATCCCTTTTTCTTCCTAAGACTTATCGTTAGTCCCAAGTTCTGTGACTAAGGGATGCACTAGCCCTAGTGGAGGGTATATGAAGTGTAATTGTAAAGGAAATGAC